CAGAAGCTTATATTACACTTATTCCAAAAGAGGAGGCCAATCCATTACAAATCAAGAACTATAGACCTATTTCCTTACTAAACGCAAATTATAAAATTTTTGCTTCAATATTGGCAGAAAGACTTAAAAAATACTTAAACAATTTTATCCATCCTGATCAAAATGGATTTCTGCCAAAGAGACAATATGAGAGTAATCTTGGACACTTTGGAATACTACGAGGCACATCCTGCAAAACAAACGGCTTTGATATTTTTAGATGCACAGAAGGCATTTGATAATGTGAATTGGCGATTCATGTTATTACTGCTGGAACAGATGGGCTTTGCTAAAAACTTTATTCAAGCAATAGAAGCTATATATCATAAGCAAATGGCAAAGGTAATGATAGAGGGAGAACTGATAGACTCTTATCGATATAAGAAAAGGAACAAGACAAGGGTGCCCACTATCACCTCTGTTGTTTGTGTTAACCTTGGAAGTGCTAAATAGAAATATTAGAGATGAAAAGAATATAAAAGGGATGAAAATTAAAAAGGAAGAATTTAAATTGCAAGCATTTGCAGGTGATCTGGGTTTCATTTTAGAAGACCCACTAGAAACAGTATCAAAATTGATAGAAAAGATAGAGGCATATGGAAAGGATGCTGGTTTGAAAATAAATAAAGATAAGACAAAGATTTGACAAAGAATATGTTATCAAGACAAAAGGAAGAACTGGCAGATCTACTGAAAATCCAGGTCACGAATAAGATCAAGTACTTGGAGATATATTTGACAACAAGATGCAGTACACTAAAAGAGAATTATTATATCAAATTTAAGCAGCAGATAGTGCTAGATCTGGCAAAATGGGAAAATTTACAACTGTCATGAATAGGGAGAATATCAACAATCAAGATGAATATATTACCCAGAATTTTATATTTGTTCCAAACAATTCCAATTAGGCTTGGAAAAGATTACTTTGAAGATTTAAATAAAATGGTGTTGAAATATATATGGCAAGGTAAGCGAGCGAGAATAAAGAGGAGGATTTGATTTGCCTAATTGGGAGTTGTACTACCAAGCTACAAATCTGATGTGGGTTAAGGAATGGATAACATTAAGAAATACTAGATTGTTGACATTAGAAGGACATGATCTGTTGTTGGGTGGAATGCTTTTTTACGGTATAAAGGAACTAAAACACAGGGGTACGTTAGAAGACATTATATACAAGAGTCTCTGTGGTTAAACTCTGAAGATTAAAAGACAATGTTATCTGAAAATTCCAGACTGGTTATCGACTATTGAAGCATTTTCTTATCTTATAATATACAAAAAGGAACAAACAGTTAGATATGGTGAAATATTGAATGAAAAGGGTGAACTTAAATCTATGCAAAAATTAGAGGAACAAGGTATAAAGATGAATTGGTTTTCATATGCACAAATACATTCAAGGTATGATAAAGATTCTAAAACAGAAGGTTTCTATGATAAACTGACAGATAAGATTTTGACAGGTATTGATGAAAAGGTGATTAAAAAATTGTATGGATATTTATTAGAAATTAAACTAGAAGAAGAACAAGTTAAAGAAACTATGATTGCTTGGGGGAAGAATTTTGGATATGGGATTGATCTAGAGAAATGGCAAAAATTGTGGTCTCAAAATTATAAAATGACAATGTCAACAGCATATAAAGAAAATTTGTATAAGATGTTTTACAGGTGGCATTTTCCCCCTGACAAGAAGAGCAAGAATGTTCAAGAATAAATCCAAAAAATGTTGGAAATGTCATCAGACACCTGGCTCATATTACCATATGTGGTGGACATGTGCAGATGCTAAAAAATATTGGACTAAAATCCACACGTGGTTCGAAAAAATGACAAAAAAGCATATAGATTTGAAACCAGAGATATTTTTATTGGAAATTTTACCTGAAATATATAGTAGACTTGAAATACCTGATTGTAAATGTATTAACAGCGACTAGGATTGTATTTGCTAAAAACTGGAAAAATGAGAAAACACCATCACAGGAGGAGATCATTAAGAAAATATTGGAATGTGCTGAAATGAGTAGATTGACATGTGAAATTAGAGAACAAGATGATAAACAATTTTATAAAATTTGGGATCTATTCTATCAATGGTTAGACAATAAAATATAGTAATGAAATATGCAGATTCTTAGAAAATAATAAATATATAAAGATGTATTCTTTTCTTATTATATCTACAAAATGATTTTAGGATAGATTTGGGATGATAATATGAACTGTTATAAAACAAATTAAGTAAAATATGATTATTTCGTAAAACATGAATGAATAAAAGTATAGTCAAATGATTAATAATGATATTAATGTATTTAATATTTGATTGAAAGTACGCGAGTATATACATTGTAATTGTAATTGAAGACTACGAAATGGAAGCACAAAACAATTTGTAAACCAACGGGCACACTGTATGTACATATATGGAAGATGGCTTGATGTTTTTATGTTTTGTTTGTTCATGTTTGTTTTAAAAACCAATAAATTTTTTTAAAAAAAATCTAAACAATGTGGTTCAGACTGCAATGTTTCTTCCCCAAACCCCAAAAACTTTAACCTTAGACTGTCTACTATTGACCTCACCCCTTTCCTAAGAGGTTTATAGGGGATGTGCATAAGCGCACCAATGTGCCTACTGTCCATGTCCTATTGTTTTTTTTATTTTTTATTGTTCTTATATGTATCCATGTATTCATAACTATGTTTTTACTTATACCTATTATCATGCAAGCAATTGACAAAAATAAATAAATCAAAATATAGAAAACTCTTTAAGTCTAGCCTGGCACCTAGTGTTTGCAGGCTATCCTGTGAATTTTGGTATGTTGAAAGCCTAGGGCAAAGAGCAAAGGGGAGTGTGGCAGGGCCGTCATATACTGGCAGCTTTCACTGTATTTACTTCTTATCATGAAAATATGATTGAGAACCAATGCTGAAGCTATCTACATGTCTGCATGTTCAAATGTATATACTGTATTCATGTGAGTTCCTTCCAAGACCAAGAAAGAAACTCCTAATATATATTTCAGCTACGTTTAGGAGTGTGAAACCAGGATATATAACATTGCTGAAATATATATTAGGGATTCCTTTCTTGGTCTTGGAGTTTTGCCTCTAGAACGGAAGAAACTCACATGAATATAGTAGATATATATGAACATGCAGACATGTACATAGCCATAGCATTGGTTCTCAATCGTGCTTATATATAAGCATCTTCTGAACATGCAGGCTGAAGAGCAAAAGTTAATCCAAAACTGACAATAAACTAGGAGGCTGCATACTCATAGGTCTTTATAGTTCCAGGCTTTAAAGAATGTAAAGCATTTTGCTTAGAAAAGGGCGGGTGGGGGGGGCAGGCCATGCCAACATATAAGAGTTAGAACAAAGGATGGAAACTATTCTTTCAGCCAAACATTTGCCTAAGCAAACAAACCACGACAAAGGCAGAAGTTTCCACGTAAACACCCCCAATAATCCCAACCACTCAAAAACTTTTGAAATTCCCAGACTCCCAGAGTACAATGGAAGGGGCAAATTTTGACCAACTTAAAGAAAATATTTGGCTTGACCAAATTGTTACTATCTCAGACCCCAGTGTATAGTAGAAACTGGAAATAAAAAAATGTGCCACCCCTAAGGATTTACTGTATCTCTTAGCTGATTCTTTTAAATATAGCAGTTTAAGCTTTCTGCTATTGCCCACTTTAACTTCCTGTGTTTTTAACATTTTGTTCTCATAACCTAACTCTTCCACCACCCTCCCATTCCTATGTACACACATCCCCTCTCATTCATTTGTTCTCACACCCAAGCACATGCCACTTGCCACAAGAAGCCCTGTAGCCTCAGATATCCAGGCATGGATCTTTTGTCTTTATTAGCACTCCCTGAAATAACTAATAATGATAGTTCACTTCACCAAGCAAGTGCACACAGAAGATACTTTTCAGACTGATTTTTATATCATCCTTGATGCTCTATAAAAATGCAAGATCATTAAAAATTAAAACACAAATATGTTACAGACTCTGTAGTAAAGGAAGCATTAGAATTTACAATTGCTTTAGTCCTTTCCAAAAAATACTTTCATGAACAGTCAATCATTTTCTTTTCCTCATTGTTTCAGTTCTGCTCAACACACATCATCTCTCTTCCCTGTCATTCTAAAGCACACATACACTCAAATGCTACAGTTACAGGCTGAGTGCTCACACAACTACAAATTCTGGTTAGCTGCACAAAAGCTCCCCTCACCAGCTACTAGTTGATATGCTGAAACGGTCATGGCTCCACACCCCAAATTTAACCCTCCAACATGGTATTAAAGTTCTTGAAAGAAAAAGGAAACTAAAAGGGTGAACAAAAAAAAGGAAAACAGAAACAGAAAATAGGGAAAAATTGGGAGTGAAATCACAAAAAGCTAAGAAAGCACAATTCCAAATGGAACAATAAAAGAAATAAGGGGACAGGGAAAGTAGAAAATAGTTAACTTTAGAAACACAAGAGTGAACAAAAAAAGAAAAAAACAAGTAAAAAGAGAGAAAGGGAGAGAAAGAAAAATGAAAAAATAAAATAAGGTTGGGAATCAAATGAAAATGCTGCCGCAGCAAAGTGAAAGGAAGAAAATGAAGAAAAAAGAATGAAAAAAGGAATCGCATATGAAAAGAAAGACAATAAATAAATTTTAAAAAATGAGAGACAATAAGAAACAAAAGAAATGAGAGACTAGGATACAGTACGTCAAAGCAGGGTCCGTGAAAAGTTAGAAACAAAAATAAAACTGGGATTTAAAAAGAAAGAAATAGAGGAGAGAAAAGTGGGGGAAAGTTGGTGGACAACAACCTAACAGGTAAACACGATCTGATTGACATCCACATTTAGCATTCCGGGAATTGTGTCATAAAAAGGGAGGAAATGCGGGCGCGCTGCGCTGAAAGACATCTTACCCCGACTTCCAAAAATATTCAGGAGTTTAACAAAAAACTGACCCATCCCGAGCTCCAAAGCTTCAAAAGCAAACGCTTTTGCCCCCGCCCCTCTATATAGACGCCGCAGGTGCCGCGTCAGAATTAAGACCACCCCCGCCGAGCTCCTCCCTCTTCATTGGAAAACTCTCTCGAAGGGGACGAGAGGGACTCCGCGGAACCCTTGGGTGACGTCAGAATGCGTGGTGGAAACAAGGGATAGAAATGAGGCAGGAAGGCGTGGGGACAAGGACTGGGGCTGCAGGCTGAACTTCTCTTCCTCCAAGGAACTCCGGAGGAGCTCTGTGTGAAAGGGGCGGAGGAGATAAACGGGGTGCTTGCAATTGTGCTGTCTGGCTTGGGAGCTGGGTGTGGAGCTGACGGTATTTGAGGCATGGGTGAATGGTCAGGCAGGGCTGCTTTAGGGGTGTTGGAGCAGCTTTTGAGGCTAGTTTTAGAGTGGACAGTTGCCACCGGAGATCTTCTCTGTGACCAGATCCTGAGTCGTGTTAGGCTTTAAAGGTGACAATCACAGCACCTTCATTTGCAGCCAGAAGCAAACTGGCAAGGAGAACAGTTCTCAAAGTGGAGGTATTTTGCATGGAAGAACTTTGACACTCCCATCACAGGTCTGCATTCTGAACTAATTGACTAATTCAAGGCCAGTCCCATGTACAGCAAGTTGCAACAATCCAAATGGGATTGGGGTGGCGATTAAGCCTCTAGAAGCTGTAAGGAAGTTCTTGCAGTCCTAGGATTGTGGAGGCCCAGGTGTAATTGTACAAAATGCTTCTTAGGCATGGGTGCCATCTGCTCCTGGTGCAGAAGCTGTGAATCTCTAGGAGGACTTCCTCTCTGGGGCCAATTTGTCTTGAGGTGCTGGAGAAACTAGGAGCCCCGTTTCCACAGAGGCATTGCACCGAGGGGTTTCTTGCAAATTTTGCTGTACTGCTTTAAGGATACTAGACCAGTTATTGAACATGTATGCAATTTGTCAGAACTGCAAGACCTGCCTTTGGAAAAAAAATATGACTCCTGATCCATTTAAACTGGGAAAATGAGGCAGTGCCAATTTCGCCCCAGATTAGTGCATTACAGTTTTCAGCAGGACATATAAATTTCAATATTTGGGAGCTGGGGGGAAATTGATAAGAGCTTTGCCAGTTTAACTCCCCATGGTGATTGGAAGACTAGTAAACCTGCCAATTAATCTTTTACAAGATGAATACAGTAAAGCTTTGTCCAAAAACACTGCAGGGTTAGGGTTTGGAGTGGAGGGAACTTTCTCAATGGCACATATAACTTCCCTCTTACTTCATCCCATAATCCATGTCTGTCTCACTGACTTGTCAACTGTTTTTTACCTAGATGTATTAGTCTTCTGGGAGATCAGTAAGCCATATTCAGAAATGGCCTGTGTGTTAGTTATCATCGTGAAGCACCTTTGCTCCAGCAACCGGTCACTCGGTCACTTTAGAACAAGGATCTTCAAACTTGGCAAGTTTAAGACTTGTGGACTTCAACTCCCACAATTCCTGAGCTAACATGACTGGAGGAGGAATTCTGGGAGTTGAAGTCCATATGTCTGAAAGCTGTCAAGTTTGAAGACCCCTGCCTTTAGAAGATGGATAAAACCTTGGTCCCACGCATTCATTCACACTTGCCTAAGTCTGCAGTATCTCACAGCACTTCAAGGCCCATTGGTGATTATTTGTTCTCCATGTGGTGACTTAGGATGAGAGGGAAAACAAAGCCACAGGAACCTAGTTGTTGCTTAAATTTTCCCACAGTAAATTGGTAAGGATAGGTTCACTTGTAAGCCTAGTTACTGAGGCAAATTGTTCTTGGCTATCAGGGAAGTGCAAATTAGGCTTGCACATCTTTCTTCTGACTCAAAAACCAGAGAAAGAGACATTAACATGTCTATGTGAAAAAGCCCTGATCATCAAGGAAGTCAGCTTATGGTTCGATGCTTCCCAGCCTGGATCCAGGCAATAGGGCTATTTCAATAAAGCATGGTTAAATAAGCTATAGGCCAGGGAGTTGAGTGTGCCCAGTGGGGATTTAAATGCTTAGGGCTCCAGTCAAGGATTTGTGAAATGTCTCTGAGGAAAAATAGATTTAAAGATTGCTGAGTGCATTAGCAAGAGGGCTTCATCCAAGAATCTTTTCCTACCTTAATCCATTGTATTACTTCTTCCCCTGCAATTGTTTCTCTTAAAGCAAAAGCGGGGGAGGGAGAGGCAGGAAAGTGGGGAGATTTAACACTTCCTCTCAATAATGTAGCAGGAAGTATATTGGCCCTTTCTCAGTGTTTTATGACCATCTTCACCAGTCTAATACAGCTTTGGGGAGGGCTATTTAAAGTAGGGGAGTGACCTAAATAATCTACAAACCATCATTCCATTCCCTGTAATCCAGTGGAGAAATCTAATTGCAGATGCCCTAGATAGACTAGATAGACTAGTCCCTCAAATGGGTTATGTTCACACAACCCACATATATTGATTTAAATCCAAGTTGCAAAATATAAAGACCTTGTCCTTGTAAGAAACATAACTTTTATTTTCCAAAACTTACATCACAGTTTTTAAAACCTGAAAAGATCAAATTATTTTGATTTGGCTATCTTAGACTTAGTTAATTCTAATTAGTTAATTCTAATTAGTTAATTCTATTAATTATATCTATTTTTCTTGTAGACCGATTTTTAAAGAATGAGAGGGATTAGTTTACCATGCAAGATTGCTATTCAGTGGACATGCATGGTTGAAATTCTGGATTTGAATCTCATTGCTTTTTTGTTCCTGATGCTCTTGAAATATAATTTCCAGCAAAGAGTTTTTTGCTGTCTGGTCAAATGTTTTGCAGTGTGGAGATAGATACATTTTTCAGAAAATTGAACATTATTGAAAAGTAATATATCTTGGGGTGGAAGGTTAAGCCCTATTGTCCTACTTAAATCATCCTATCATTTCAGCCTACTACCTAGAATCTGAGCTTTTAAAATTGAGAAATGGTATCTCTTGATTGACTCATGTTTGTGAAGGGAGTTAACAATATTATTTGTAGTATGAAAAATGTTTATTTTTGGAGTAGAAACAGGCTCCTTCACTATATGAGAAATTAAATTTCTTAAAATGAGAATGTGACACCTGGATTTGAACCAGAGATCTCTTGATCAGGAGTCAAATGCTTTACTGCTGAGCTATAAAGCCTTGGTCTTTTGATTTTGTTGTTGCTGGCATCTTTGTGGTGTTGGAAGAAATTTCCTGAGTTCATTTCCCTGCTGAGAAGTAGTCACCATGCTTAGAAGAAATAAGCAAGAAAGCCAGAAAAGAGATCCTTTAATTGAGGAAGGCAATAAAAATAGTGACGCAGCTCAAGCAAGCTGATTGGCATGATACATTTATTGATTTTTATACCCATTTTCTCTTTGAAGTTTGTGTTCTTTGAAGAGATTTTGTGTGTGCCTTTCGTTAAGGTGATTGCTCTGAGTTCTTAATGGGTTTGTCTTGTTCCTGGGACTTTATCTTTCTTATCCTTCTAATTCTGCTAGGAAAGGGGGAATTCCAGGTGAGTTATTTTAGTTGGTTTGAGTCTTTCAGGATCTACCTCATAGTCTAGTGTTGTTGTTTTTTGTTATTCCTCGTACTAGCCTTTGACAGTAGCCCAGACTTTTAGTTTACTTTGTTATTTCTGTTAAGGAGTGTTAATGGCTTTTGGCAGCACCCCAGATTTTCAAACAGCTTGAGCTGGGATTTTTGCTTAGGCTTTCTTAAAGGCTGGCACTGTTTTCTGAGATTTCTGGTGCTGTGAGGTTTCTAGCACTGTCCTTTTTTGGGGTGCACTTCCCACAGTGGTATTCGTTCATTATATTGAAGTAGAAGATTTTTCTGTAAATTATGTTAGTTTTTTATGTGAAGTAAGAATGTTCTTCTCTAAAAGGAATGACTGAACAAGTGTTTCCTTTATTTTGTTTTCAAGTTACTAAGTCTTAAGAATGGTTATTCATATTTTAAAATAATAAATTGTATCCTCTCCAGGTACTACAAACTTTAACTCCTGTAATAAAAAGCCACATTAGTTGGACATTATTGGTAATCCAAGAAATAGGAATTCAACAGTTTGAAAGAGAGCTATTTAAAACAACACACAAAAACTTATGATGATAAAATATCACACAAATGAAAGATAGTGTATCCAATAGATTATCCTCTTAAATATAGGTCATTTTCATGGAAAGGAAGGTATATGGAGGTTGATATATAAATGGTGGTGGTGGAAGATCTGCTTATTATGAATTGTATCTGCATATCTAGTGAGTACTGCTACCCAAACCAGGGTTAACTGATCTTTTTGCTCTCCAAAAAAAATGCAGGAAGCCCTAATACAGTAGTGTAGTCCAATGTTTTTCAACTTTGGCAGCTTGAAGATGTGTGATCTTCAACTCCCAGAATTCCCCAGCCAGCCATGCAGGGTTGGGCAACCCACAGCCAATAGGTTATGCACTCCTCCAGATATTATTAGTGGTATCACTGATTTTCAGAGGTATAATGTTTACAGTATTGTTTGATGAATAAAATAAAAGGCACATGCATATATGCACACACACATACGCACACACACAGACAGACAGAGCCAGATAATAGTGTGTCTTTAGATATTCTCTTGGAGACCTATTCACATATTTAAAAAAACAGTCCTTGAAACCCCAAAAAATAGTTGACATCAATCCATTTATTATTTTAAGAGTAGCTCCATCTCTTAATGAATTACACATCTCAGATGTTTATTCACAAATGTACAATCAAAATAGATGGTAGACAACTCTATGTACAAATACTATTTACAAGCAATAATATAGCTAATTTCAAAAATACTGTTTCATATTGTCTATTTTTCTTGGCATCTCCAGTCATGTTTTTTCACCTCGTACTCAAAAGGTTTCCTGCAAAAAGACAAAAAGAGGAATAAGATTTTAACTAATACAGTATGGACAAACTTGTGCTTCCCATTGGTTTTAGATTTCATTTCCCATCATCCCTTGCCTTGGTGCTAGCTGGGGAAGATG